CTGGGTCGTTGCCATTTCGTATATGTAGTGCATCGACATGTCGACCCGCCGGGGGTTCGATTCCCTCTTAATGCAATCGGTATCCAATACGTTCGTTTTTTGACTTATATCCAAATCCTCAACCACGTTAGAATCAGGATGAGGATACAGAGACGGCTCAAGCTCAAGCTCAAAATCAAACTTTCCTCTCTCTCTCTCCTTTTTTTTGCTTTCTCTCTTTGCGGGAGATATATTGGATTTACAAAACGGTAGGTTCCAGAATCTCTGCCACTTCAAGAAAGAGAAGGATAAGAAGAGTTGAGTACGGCATTAATGGGGTAGTGGTAACCTGGGTCGTTGCCATGACTGTCACCGGAAGCTCGATCTCGACCCGCCGGGGGTTCGATTCCCTCTTAATGCAATCGCTCTGGTTGTGCGCCTTTTTGAAAACGGTAGGGAAGGAGAATGTGAGAGACGTGGAGTGCACGACAAAAGGAGAGCCAGGTGCCCGTCAAACGAAGAACTCAGGAGTGTAATGCTAATAGGTATGACAAGCGTGAATCATGTCCATCAGGCGGATGATAACGATAAAAAAGCATTACACCTGTTGATTGATTGGCTACCCGATAAGGGGGATGATCATGGTATGTGACGTACCAGGAAGCCGTCAAAAAAAAAAAGCGAGAGAGACAGCGAGGTGGAGCCGTGTATGACCACCCATGAATCTGATTCAAGACGAACCAACTTTGGCAACAGCTAAAGGAGATCCCACCCGAAAAAAAGCGAAGTAAACAGGATCGAGACATGAGAATTGGTCCTCAGCCAGTTTCCGTACTGGATATAGAGAGAGAGCGACCAAATAGAAAACCTCGGCATTGATGTTGTCGACACATAGGGGTCTTCGACGGATCCTTTAAAAGAGTGCTGAAGTTGTTAGCAGAGAGCATCCACCCACCTCAGTTCAAACTCTCATCGACCTTCATCTACTACCCTCAACAAAACACGATGCTCGCCTTTTTGTCAACTGCTCTTCTCTTCGCATTCCCCGTCTTTTCCCTTCCAAGTGTAAACAATGCCGCCCCGATGTCACAGAACTGCACCGTCGGTTCTCTCACTTGCTGTAACGATTTACAACCTGTGAGTAGTTCAATTGAATGTTTATTCATAAAATAAAGCAAAACTGACCCGTAACTTTGCAGTTCGGAACACCCGCCACTCAGGATCTTGCTTCAGGTCTCCTGAACATTGCTCTTGGAGCCATCGGCGTACAGGCAGGGTGTAAGTATACATTTATCGGGTCCATACTCAGTGTGACTTACTCTCCTTCCATAGTCGACTGCGTTCCAGTCGGTGTTGCCGGCGGTGGAGGTCAAGAATGTAACGCCCAAACTGCCTGCTGCTCAGACGAAAACTTCGTGAGTACTTTTCTTACTTTTCAAGATAATTGCTTACCTTGCCCATTAGAACGGAGGCCTCATTGGCTTGGCCTGCATGCCATTCAACCTTAACGCCTAAGAAGGCTAGCTTGCGTCCTACACTGGGAGTTATACCGATTATTCACCATTCGGATGTCGTCCTTCTTTAGATTCTCCACCCCTTTATTTTCATGTCATACCATATTAGATTTACGGATATTAATTTGATGAAGCGCTGACCAGGAAGTTGCGGTACCACCGGGGGAATAAGAGATCTTGCAAACCCGAGATTCGCAGCGGTAGTGAAGTTCAATATTGATCGTAGGATCATCCTTCAAGTTGAAATACGCCTCACTGACGTCTTGACCGATTTTTCCAAAGAAACCGGTAACGAACGAAAGGTAAAAGACGACGCCTGTGGTGGTCATGATTCTTCACACAAGCGTGTTTGGTTGGATCGGAATGGCACCTGAGAACGCCGTTGCCAGCGTAGAGAAGAACGCAGCGTAGATGATCACTGCCACCATGCGAAACTGCATAGTGCGGGGCAATTGAATCTATGGGAACCTTGGGCGAACAAAAGTGTTTCGTGGGGTCAAAGTCGCATGGGAGGTGGGGAATCAACGCGAGAATCGGAGAGACCGATGAGGACCGCAACTTTGACGCAAGGTCAACGTGGAGAGACCCTGGACGTACTTTTGAACGTTGAGCGATAAACTGGCCAGCGGTTTCGTTCATTGGATGGGGATCAGTATAGGATGCGAGCAAACTTTCATCCGACACGCATGAAGAAGTTTATCACCCTGAAACAATCATACATAGTAGCAATGGATATCACAATCTCAACACGGGCGATGTCATGCGTACCAACTTGTATGCACTCCTATAACAAAAAATTGCAAGCCGGTTGATGGTTCGATGGCCAGACGATGAATAACTGCCAGCGAGTTTTGTCTGTTATGACCAATGAACGTTGATTAACCCGAAAAAGATCGTCAGCTGTTATCGCCAAAGATGAATAAAAGTGGAAGGCGATGCCAATGGGGGGAAATAAACTCGCACCAAAACGTCAGAAAAAAACAGCGAAGAACAAGCCAACTTAGCCAACATGCAGGGGCGGATAAACAGGCCAACTGGGCACAATCAGATTCAAAACGTAATAGCGATACTTCCAGGTGTTTAAGAGACCAGTACGTGTGCCATTCTGTACGTGAAGCAGGGAGCACAGAAAATAAGCATGGCTGTGATGAGTTGAGAAAAGATGCACCGCCACTGTAGGTTCCGGACAAAGCCGTCTTCCCATCTTCGGATCATGAATGGATCACCACTTTTTTGCGTTCCGCAGCCATGACTCAAGCGGCTGGTCGATCCGGAGACCCACTACCTCCTACTACCTCCACTGAAAGTCCTCCAGAGCTCACGCGATATATGATCGCTTGAACATCGCTTGAGCTTGTACGTTTCGCGATAAACTGACCAGCGACGGGAATTTCCTTTTCCTTACGATGTGAGTCAGCTTTATCCGATAACGAGGACTTTGTGAGCATAATGAATCATGATCTACGACGATGTCAATCCAGAACTTCAGGTCTCAAGTCAAATATCTCAAAACATGGCCAAGGGCGCTTCCCGATCGTTCAAGCAACTTTGTGTCGTGATCGTTTGGTTCTGGTTTTGTTTACGAAGAACTTATCTTCCGTATCGAAGCGCTCAATATTAAACTGGATACACAGATGCCTGGTCCCAAGGCGTAATTCAAACGTCACGGTTCCCTTAGTGTCCCAGTACCACGTTCATTCAAACGTTTAACGACAAGGCCGCGATACACATCGCATACCCCCTCAGCTTCAACTTTCAATTTCTTCTCCCCCCGTCCGAATGAACGTTGTTTGGATTTGGTGGAGGTAATAGGAGCCATCGCATTGTTGTAAATCAATTCATGCTTTTTCTCCTCTTGCCAAATGTTACTCGATTCCAGTCAATACGATAACGATTGCAAGTGACACCTGCAACTCATCATCACTTGTGGCCATAATGATATCCTCAAAAGGAAGTGATGGTCATCATGGCCAATGGTCAACAGTTGTGCTCAACCACAATGTATATGGCCAGTGGCCCGCCTGTGGAAATAATATATATATATAGACTGCCTGCACTCCAACTTCGACTTCAACCGTTCCTACCTTGTCTTTCACCCCACCTCTATATCTCTACCTAAATAATGTGTGCACTACGCACTCGCAACTCAAATTCAAGGTGATATCGCAGATCTTAAGCAAGATATTCCCTCTTACACGTAGCCTTTCAGATCCAAGAAATCCACCGTCACGCCTATCCAGCCACTCGACAAGAAACGACGCCGGAGAGCGACCGAGGCATTGCACAAAGATCAAGTCGTAAAGCGCACCAACTTGACCAGCGCGGACGATCGTCGTGCCCTTCTTGAAAAGGATCCATGGGCAACAGACGTCACTCCACTCAAGGTCCATTGCAAAGGGTGCAGAAAGGATATAAAGCTCGATCTCCGCGTCGCTTCGTATTATGCAACGAATTGGTTCAAACATAAAAGGAATTGCAAGGTGATCTTGAAAACTGGGGAGAATTTACTGCAGGTGAGGTCGTATCCTCATCAAAGATACATTTTATGTTATTGATTTTGCCCCAGAACGATATCAGCCTAGTAGAATGTGAT